AATGAATTGTACTATTGGCGGAAAATGACACTTTGTGAAGAGGCAACACATGGTTTTATTTATAAATTTGTGTTTTAATCAGCATTTGATTACCCAAAATGAGCTCAGGTGTCATCTTGTATCTGAATTGAATATGAAGACGGTTGGTGCCCTACTATGAACTACGAGGAAATTAGCGCTTAAATTGCCGTGGTTTTTCTCGGACACTCACTATTCCCGAAGAGCCGGAAGCGACGTTCAGAGATTTTGCCATTTTGGCGAAGATTGAAACAGCCTAAACGACCACATTGTCTTGGAAACCATTTGGAAATTGAAGTGAAACGCCTGTATAAAACTACCAAACTGGGAAATCCAGTCTGTTCCTGGAGGCTAAGAAGCATTGCGCGGCTGCCTTATCCTGATTGGGTAATATCAGCAGTGGATACCTCAGAAAACCCGACGACAGATTTCGAAGCGCCAGCTCCTAGTTCGGAAACTCAACTACTGGGCCACTACCAGCCGACAGAATTCTAAGTAAGTGGGCTTTGGACAGGATATAGCACCGTTTAGGCTTCAGTCACAGGACCAACACCGCATATCGAGTTTTTACTAATCGCGTGAATTTCGATCTTCCTCCGAGCCAAATAACTCTTGCTGAGTTTTTTGGGAATGTTTACAATTTGCAAAAGGATCGTTGTCTTGATTGTAGTCACTGTTTGCTGACATACCTAAGAAGAGCTGGACAGTTGATTTAAACTAGTTGCAAATCATCAACAACAGCCAATTCAGACAGCAACAAACCAGCGTGCTTCATTCTACACCTTAAAGCCACTTCTACACTCATTTTCAAGTACCAACTCAATAGTTCCAGTTCATGCTTTTCGAACCAAAGTCAGTGAGTTGAGCCTTTCTTATCTATTCTCCTGAGCTTCTAATCGCACCTATTCAAAATTGTTAGATCTTTTGCAAGATTATTGTAAACAGATTTCATAGAAGCACTTATATGAGAAGTTCTAAACAATTCACAAGTTCTCTTGAACGAGTGAATGAACAGGAGCCTTCAAAGCCTTAAGCAAATACTTAGATGGATCCCAACTAGTAATGTGGTGAAATATTGGTAGCTCGGGTGAGTTTATTGGTTGTTGATCAGGTGGCTGTTGATCTGTTCGCCGACCTTGGCAATCGACTTGCAAACGTTTCGTCACCATACGTGGAGACATCACCAGTGCGCAGTTGGGTGGGTACGTCTTCCTTGCGTGCGTGTGTTTATATAGCAATATCGATGTTACATTAGCTTGTTGTACGGCAAAGTGTTGAAATAATTGCCGCCTTGTATAAGGCACTACTTTTGGATTATCTCATGTCACATGATGAAGATATTTGTGCATTAAAACTCACTCGACAATTTGAGATCACGCAGAGCGAAAAAACGTGAAATTTTACAAGAGCAAGCAGACGACATTCATGTATGTAATCAATCATAAAGATGTAGCTGATTGAGTACTGCCTAATTTATTTTCGTGGCTCAAATGAATACAATATAGCATTTCAGAAAATTTGGTAGATAAATTTCCGCCGGCCATACATGACATGGCAATGTTATTTTTTCGGGCCACCCGATACTTATAAGTTGCTCACATCCTATTTTGAACAAATCATGTCAGCTGGGTATATGGACCACTGGTCAACCTGCACTGGTAAAATTTACACATAGCTCCGTACTAAATGTGATTTGAGGAGTAATAAAATAATCAAAGTACAATGACGTTACCTTTGTGAATGCCAGGATCCACTGGTCGATGGGATTCTCCGATTTGGTGTGCCGTTGGTGCGCTCCGTCTTACAAGCAAGTACATGATATCAGAGTACACAAACGCTCGGATTTAGCCTTGCAGCAATATGGAAAGCTCATAGAATGTGTCCCATTCATGCCTTTGAGGCCGCTATTCCGGGCTCTTCAGGGCCAATCATTCCGGTGGCATTCTGGGTATGCATATACACACCTACTCGTCTGTGGGAGCACCCGAAGGTGATTGTGGTGTCATTCCCATTTAACTGAATTTCGGACAAACGTATGTTGTGCTTCATCACTCTGTTTATATCCGGGAGCATCTTGCAGTGCAAATGTCGATTTATAGCGGATATGCCTAACGTAGGCATTGAAACATCAGTCTCGACTACTAATTTAATTATGTCTATGATGACAACGATGATAATAAGAATGATTCGTAAGAAAATTAATAGTGAACTAGTAATCATAGAGTTACTGTGTGCTTCATTATCATATTCAAGAGCATTCCATGCTGGCACCTAATAACGGGATGAAATTCCAAAGGCCACAGGTAAGAAGTTCGTACATTTCAGCAATTTGTCTGGCTCGGAGTGATACACAAGGTCGAAACAACTTTTTGGAGCAACTTCTGGAATAGTCCTGAAAATTGAAAAATTGAAAGACTATCTTCAGCCTGTTCAACCGGTTTGTCCCATAGGTATTTTATCAGCTTGGCGCTGGAACGTCTTAGTGTCCAAATGTATAGTATAACGGAACCAATGGGGCTAAGATCGGAGCAATTGGTTGTTGAATAATTGAAATGTGGGGGCCGGGGGTTAAAAACTAAACCCGGATCTTGACGTATCAATCAAAAATAACGTGAAATTTTAGAGAACCAAGCAGTCATTCGAACAGTCATGGCAACCGGTAATTTGTAGCACTATATAAAGCGCAATGCTCTGTCTACAAATACAAATGGAGTTATAATCTGTTGTTAAAATTACGATTATAATGAGAAAGGTAGGCATCCTCCGAATTCTTTCCGCAATTGAAAAGTGTCTAAATTTTCCCCGCGCCCAGCTTTGAAACAGCCTATGCGGTTAGGGCGGAAGAGGAAAGAATCTATTGTTTGCAATGCTTTGGTTGCAACCATGTTAAAACAGATTCAGATATAGCAATACATGCCACTCAAAAGCTAATAAAACAAAACTACCTGTGGAAACTTAATGATGTCTGAAGGCCGCTTGGCAAGCGGTAGAAAGGTTGCTCGCTGGATTACTGATTGATCCACAGTCAAGTGAAGTGAAAAGGCTTCAATGGAGGCATTCTGGAAGAATAATTGCCAATATGCATCCTAAATGGTGTTGCAAAACCTGAAGCTTATTTGTACTTGTACGTTAACGTTTACGATCACGATTGCAGCCGCGTCAAATCGCCCGCGAATAGATCGCTGACAAACAGATCTAACAGTCCGGCTGCAGGTGATATCCCTCGCGACTAGAAACGCGAGATACCTCTGAGAATTCCAAGGGATATTACATCCGTTTTGTCACACGTTTTCAAAACAGTGGACAAGAAACAAGAATCGTCTGTCAGTCGATCTTTCGCGAAGCAATCACGTTCGGATCCGTAATAAAAATCGTTCAAAGAGGTATTTTCTCATGATAGTGGTGCAGTTGTTTCATAATTAAAAATATTTCTAATTTGCACATGTACGGCTTGAAAAAATGTGTGAGCAAGTGATGTTACTTCACTAAAAAATATCAGGGCGATTGCTAAGCAGGATATAACAGAAATCGAGTTATGGTTACGGCAGACTGACTCACAAAAAAAGCGACTTGCCCACGTTCCAAGTAGAATTTTTGGAGTTTCACTCATCAAGGTTATTGGGATTCGGGTGTTTATGAAATATGGACAAATCCGTTTGTATCCCCCCACTTCTTGGTCGGAAACTGTATATATAGTGTCAGGTCGGGTTCCTAGATAATGTTGTAACATAATGACTCTCTTCCAATACGCGGAGCTGAGAAATGATGATCAAAAGACTTGCCTTAATTGATAGTCTTTCTAAACCAAATAACTGGATGATACCCAAAAAGCCAGTTGTGTGCTGCAGATATTAACATAAGTCGTGTGTGACCAGTTGCAATAGATATCTGCCGCACGGTATTTCACGCATCCGTAATCACTGAATCCTGCTTGATGTAGCTTGGATTCATAACTTACTGTGTTCTCATGGTATGGATCATCACAGCATGTGAAATATGCACACGTCTATCCTCTTTGGAAGAATATGATGGGTTCTTAACAGCCGGAGTCGGAAAACGTCGGGTCACGTAAAGCAGGCTAAAGTAAATTAAGCAATCTGGAAGACGAAAAGGATGTGAAACCTAAAAAGTTTATCACTGAATGGTGGGGCGCAAAGAGGAAATTCTAAATTTTTCAAGCCCATTTTGTCCATCCTAGCAAGGTGACTGTCTTGAGATTTCTAACCACCGAGTTATTATGACACCACCTACCCGAGTTGCAGTTATTGTAAAAAGCACGCGTATCCGCATAAATATGTCACACCTAAGGGTCTCACAATTCAGAGCAGTAAGATTGCAGATTTCCTGGATTTTGTACCTATTTATGCTTAAAATTGGCCTGGGGTTTTTAATATTCCATTGAGGAATCTTCGTATTTCGTCAGAGCAGCTAAATGTTGAATTAACCACTGTCAAAATGAAGCACTGACAATCGTTTTACGGCGGTAATATTTAGAGCGTTCTTTCCTATGGGATGTTCACTTTTCCGCACTTAAACTGTATTTATTTTCATCCAGATTTAATCAGCTTATGCGTCGGTGTGCTGAGACGGGATGGGGTGGGTAGCTACTTTGAGTTTATTGCAGACCCAATCTCGGCACCGGTGGACATGGTCGTCAAAATTATTTCGTTAGTTCCTCAAAATCCAGTAATGGTAACTCAGGTTCGGTTGAACAATTTTAGATAGATACTGATCTATAAGCTAGGGACACCGATTACAGATTTAATTAGCTTATGTTAGATTCTTCAGACAGCCTTGTATACAGCCATTCTTACATCCAACGCCAATCACCGTGTCACCGACAATACACCGACGATGTGGTGACCCAGGCCAACCTGTTGTAAGCAAACAAGTAGCATATCACGAAAACCACCCCAGAACCCATCAAAAAGTTCAAAGCAACCCCAACAGAGCTGTCACAACAACTTTCGTTATCAACAGAAGCAATGCTGAGACATCACCGTCGGTCCCGAACATAACTTGGCCCAACAAATTATCAGACATCAAGAAAAGGCGGGCGTGCGCGCTGCCCATGAATTTTGGTGGAACTGAAAAGTAAGGAAATGGAAGAGGCCGTGAAAGCCCAAAGATTAGTTGAGGCGATCCGCGAGACCGGTTCCAGACATTACCTGTGACCGAAATTACAAGGATCTGGATAGAGCGTCCATCTTGAATAGACGACAAGGCCTGAGTAGTTGGGCCAAATGCTTCGAACAACAGTCACCCTGACATCACGTGCCACTCCGCTGGAGTCTATGTCTCACGTAAAACCCTGCCCGATGAGCGGTATAAACATCTACTGTCTTTGTGTTTATTGCTGCATATGTTCTCTCAAGCGCCACCGAGCTCTTTGTCAGGATGATATCCCATCCGCATTGCCCAATTATCGTGTTGAAGTCCTAGGTCGTCGCTACCTGATCTGTTCTCCCGCAGTTTGGAAAATGAGACTGTCTCAGAACTAGGGAGAGTTGGCGAGAGTGGATTGTTTCAGGAAAGGCTCTCGTAATGAGTTTGGTAGCCAATGTGTGTTGTCAGCGTCACTTGTGGCTCTTGAGGCACCGACTCGGGAGCAGTAAGAGATCCTGGCCTCGTAATGGTTGTGTTGACACTCCATCAGGTGCTATAACAATGCCATACGTACAAACGACCCACAATTTTAGTACACCCAGATCACCATGACGTATTCGACTCAGCTGACCTGCATGCTTAGTTTAAAACACTTACACAGCAAGGAATGCTCCGGACGTTTGTGAAAAGTGTACGTTCTTTTCAGTCTCAGACATCCGGACCTGTGAATGTATACAGAGGGTTCTCCAAAAGGCTCCCTAAACAAGGCGGTGTCCGTCAGGGGTGCTTACTATCTCCATTCCAATTTAATTTTGTCACCACTGAGCTGAAAAGGCGAACGCTCGAATGACTTTAAAACCCAGTGTTAAAATGTCCTGTGAAGAAAACCTTGTTGGACTGAAACATGCAGAAGTTATTGATTTCGTCTTTGAAGAGGTGAAGAAGGCGTAAGTGTTTTAGGGTGAACTGAACAAACTCATCCCGTTCGTTTGTGACGGTTAGGTTGTATAACGGACACATTCATCGAAGGGAGGTAGACAACCCTTGACCTGACAGAAGGGTATGAAAGAGGCTAACAAAAGCCTGGGTGATGTTGACGCGACTCACCTACCAGGAGATCGTCTAGTTTCTACTTTGCCTGGTTGGAGACGCCAATCGGTGTCAGTTGTGCTCTTGTTTTGATTTTCAGTCCAAATTGACTGAATGAGTGTGTGCAGGCGTTGGCACCCAGGAATGATCATTATAAGCTAACACCTTGTAGAATCCCAACCCACGTTTTCTCCTTTTCCTCAGAAAAGGCTTCTAAATTGAACGGTGGCTGTACGGCAGCGAAGCATTAGTGTTAAAGCCTGATGTCAAACTATGGATAATAATCCTGACAGTTTGACGACTTGACAGAACAACTCTACCACTTATAAGCAACTTTCCTCATCGTTGGATCCACAGGAGACGACCCCTCTTACTGAAGATGCGTCAAATGTGTTATCATCTTCAGCAATAAAGCCTTACTGCAATGGATGCTTATAACATGACAGAACATTGAGTGTAGCCAGTGCTAGATATTAAATTTCTTAAGGGAAGGGTATATTTACATAACATGTCAAAGGTATGGCAATTTAAACAACTTACAATAGGTTTGTAGCGAAATCCACCCTACACAGAATGTGAAAAGCTGCTACATTACGAAAAATATGTCGTTTCATTTAGTAGAAAGCCTTTTAAAATATCGTAGAAAAATGGGTTCCAATCAGCGGTGAAAGATACTACTTTGGAGTAAGATAAGTAATTGTCCTTCATTATACCAAATTGGATCAGCTATTGTGGTGCCTACAAATAGCTCTCCTCACTTTCGGGGGTTACCTGGTTTCGATTTCACGTCGCTTTTCGGTGTAAAGCACTCCATTCATCTGATGACGTTCACCTTGAAGTGGGTTGTTTTCTTTTTTCGGTTGGAACAATACAACGGATCATCCATCATGCAAACCCAGTGTTTCTAGTTGTTCCAAACAATGGAATTCTCAGACATCCGTATATTATATAACAACGTACATCAGGAATAGGAGGGGGAAATAACGTAAAGAGGGTGCTGATTTTGAAAGATTTCCACTGATTGATAAACCAGATAATGAAGACGGCGTCAGTCATACTATGAAATACAAGAAAAATTCACGCTTGAATCGCGGTGGTTTTCTCTAACACTCATTATTTCGGTAGAGCTAGCGACGTTCAAGTATCTAAATTGCATATGAAGACGGTTGGCGTCATACTATGAAATACAAGAAAAATTCACGCTTGAATCGCGGTGGTTTTCTCTAACACTCATTATTTCGGTAGAGCTAGAAAGCGACGTTCAAAGGCGTTGCCGTTTTGATGAATACTGGATTAGCTAAACTGACCACATTGCCTTAGAATATCAACAAAACCGTTTGGAAATTGAAGCGAACCACTTGTGTAAAACTGCTAAACTGGGAAATCCAGTCTGTGCCTGGAATCCGAGAGGCAGTGCGCAGCTGCTTTAACCTGATTGGGTCTCATCAGCAGCGCACGCCTCACAAAACCCCACTAAAGTTTCGAAACGCCAGCTCCTGGTTGGTAGTTCGAACACTCAACCACTGGGCCACCACCAAACAACCAGCAGTCTAAGTACGTAGGCCCTAGGTAGGATATGGCGCCGTTTAGCCATCAGTCACAGGACCAAAGTCGCATAATCATTTCCCTTAGAAACGATTTATCTGACGCAGTTTTTACTCATTGCGTGAAGTTCAGTCTTTTTCCGAGCAACATAACTATTGCTGAAGTGTGGGGGAAGGCTTATAACTTGAAAGGGATCGTTGTCTTGATTAAAGTCACTCTTTGCTGACATACCTAGAAGAACTGGTCAGCTAATTTAAACTAGTTGCACGTCATCGACATTAGTCAATTCACACAACAACGAACCCGCAAACTCCGGTATCGTGCGCCGGTCAGGTGTCCAATCTGACAGCCCGTATCAACTCAAACCCGGGTTCGAAATGATTACTCAAAGTGACCTCACTGAAATCCAACAAGATGGTGTAACAATTTGCAGTAAAATTCCTAAGACAGCATTAGGATCAGCAGTGTTTGAGATGCGCCGATGCGGCGGGCGACTTGGTCTCAGCTTTCAGACCATCGGTCAGTCGAATATTCAGGTGACCCAACTAGTGTGACAGCTATTTCGATGGGCAATCGCCAAACTTTTTATTCGTTCTGTCAATGTACATTTCGCAGCGTTTGCATGTAAGCTGATACACAGTGTACAATCAGAAGAGATTGTTCTCAAATTTCTGGTTGGTCAGTCCCGTTGATTACAGACTGTTGCCTGGGATGGCTTTCAACATGAATTATTTGAAGTGAGAATTCAGCCAGATGATGACCCCCTAAAATGAAGCCTGAAAAATTCTTTCCGTCTTGTGAACTAATTGAGCTGTCGATTCGGCCTTGTCTGGCTTCGAAAATCGATATTTCCCCTGGGTGTCCGTTTTAAGCCAGAGTTCCATCTACATAAGAATAACTCAAAATCCGAGGGTCCTACAAGTTTATTGATTACTAGACGCCAAAAATTTTGACGTAGCTTTTTATGGAGGTGTGTGGGTTTTAGAGTGGGTACCGGTTGTCAAAATTCAAAACAACTTTCACATATCGTTCGTTTACGGTTATTGATAAAATCAAGAAGCCTTCTTATAATCACTCCAATAAGACGTTTGCAGTTAGATGCATCAACTGGGTGTGCATTGCCACATCAGTGGGGTTTCAAAATCTGGCCTTCGAATTCATTGCGGATATTTTCATTATACCGGGCTTGCCAATTGACTTGCAAACGTTTCGTCACCATACGTAGAGACATCACCAGTGCGCAGTTGGGTGGGTACTCCTTCCTTGCCTGCATGTGTCTATTTAGCAGTCAAAGACTACCTATTATTTTGTGACGTGATTGTCTACTTGAAGTGTAACGAATTCAGTGAAACTATTGGTCCGTTTGTGATCTTCGTTGCGCCGTGGTCTGTATTCCTTTGTGTTGACCAGTTATCCCAACTGCTTCCAATTTTTTAGCTTGTAGTCTCTGGCCTTGATTCGCATTGCGTTGTGGTCTGCCGTTCTCTAGTTTCATTGGTTGCTTGTACCGCCCCATTTTCTCCACCGTGGCGGTTAGTGTCCCTGCGTCCGCCGGTTGATTTGGTGGTTTGATTGGGCGCCTCCATCAATCCAATTGAGGTGTCCGTTTGAATGACGCTTTCCTGCTTCTCTAATGACATCCTTGTCTGGTGGCTTTTGCAGCTCTAATGACTGTGGTTCTGGCGTTCTCTCGCTCTTAGTGGCTGGTAAATGGAATGGATTTCGATGTGTTTGTTGATGGCTTCTTTGGTGAACTTCCATGCTTCCATAAATTCGCGTTCTCGTTTGTTCTTGCTTAAGCCAGCCAGCGGAAGATTTTGGTCATCTGGGGTCTCACCAGGTAGGCGCCATTCCAGAGATTCCATCAACAGTGTGTTTCACTTGAAACCAGATATCACGGAACCTGACGAACGCACTCATGTGTGAACAAATTTGCAGCCCCACCCGGAA